GCACTTTTTGGCCTTGTTGTTGGGCTACAGGAAAGACTTCCAGAAGTCTCTGTGAAAGCTGAGGATGTGGAGGCTGGGGGTTTAGCTCAGTGGCACAGCGCCTGCGTGGCAAGCGCAAGGTTGTGAGTTCAATTCCCGGTGTCAGAAAAAAAAAAAAAGAAAGCCGAGGATGCTTGGAAACTGGTGATGCCCTGTGGGTTTCTGAGCCACAGTGACTGCCCTGTTCAAGAACCTGTCACTGGGGCTGGGGATTTAGCTCAGCGGCAAAAGCGCCTGCCTGGCATGCGCAAGGTCGTGAGTTCAGTTCCTGGTACCGGAGAAAAACCAGAAAAAACAAAAAAACAAAAAAAAAGAACCTGTCACCAACCCCCCAGCCCGTTCAAACAGCAGGGGATGAATTCAGAGCAGAGCAGAAGGTTCTATCTTGCACAGAGCAACTGAAGATTCACACCTGTTCCAGAAGAATCTTGAGCAATGGATGACTAGATAAGTAGCAGATTATTAAGGGAAACCAGGGAAGTTCCAAGTGCATCTCTGGCCTTTCGGGATGCGAATGCTGGACTCTCCCTTGCACTTTCCCCTCAGGGCTGTGGTCAAAATTCTGGGCTAGCAGCTTTTGGATGGATCCGTGGCTACATTTCTGGTCTTCTTAAGAAGAGTGTAGCAGAAAAGGTCATGCTAGAACACCCAAACGTGCAGGTGAGCTGTTTCCAGGGGCAGAGAACACAGTCCAGCTGTCACACCAAGAACACCACCACCTGCTAAGTCCACACTTTTGGTCATGGTAATGGTGCCAGTGCCCCCAGTGGTAGTGATAACCACACTGACTTCCTTTGATCCATTACATAGCGACAACTGTATCAAAGTGGTCAATTTCCACATGGGTGGTCCAGAAAAGTACCCATGACCCCAAACACGGGGTAATTTCCAGAGTTCTGGCTTTGGTCAATCCCTTTGAGCCTCCAACTACTGCTTATGGATGAAATTTTTAAAACTTTATTACAGTACCAGACATACTGCCATTAATTCTCTTCAAAATCCTCCCCCTCACTTCAAACACACCCATCCCACTGTTCTTGTTACTTTCTGAAGCAGCTCTCGAAGTCCTCTTTCCTGAGGGTCTTCAGTTGCACTGTTGTGGCTGCTGCGATGTCCTGAATCCATTCAAAATGTTTACCTTTCATCGTTTGGACTCTGGGGAAGAGCCAGAAGTCACACGGTGTCAGATCTGGTGAATGAAGACACATCTTAACAAAAATTGTTATAAAGCTTTTGAATCAACTCAGGACATCAAGGCAGCCACCACAATAGCACAACTAACAACACAACTAAAGACACTCGTGAAAGAGCACTTCCAAAACTGCTTCAGAAAGCTAAAGAATGATGGGATAAGTGTATCTGAAGCATAGGGAATAGTTTGAGGCGGATTAATAGCAATGTGTCTTTTACTGCAGTAATTTTAAAATTTTTAATGTTCATGGCATTTTTTGCTCATATATGTGGTACTGGAGAGCTTGCAGGGGCAGAGGGTTCTGTAACTCAGCAGAACCTCCCCAGCCCGAGGGATGGTACAGGTTCGAAGTACAAAGGTCTTCATTACCTTCCTCCGTTCCTCCTCTGTCTTCCTGGTTTTTCTCCCTTCTGTCCCCAAGCCTCCACACACCACCTTTCTTTTTGCTGCCCTGCCCCCCTGTTCTGACAGGCCCCCTTCCTGTGGACACAACCCTCGGGACTTCCTGGGTATGTGCTGTCGGGTGGGAAGGCACCTCAGGGTGAGCTGGGGCCTCCCCTTTTCCTCTAGCTCTTGCTGGGGCAAAGCCCACAGCCTCCTGTCAGTAAATGCACCCAGGGTTTCAGAGACCCTAGCACTGCCGGGTAAGAAGAGAGGGGCTTTTGGGTCTCTCGCTTTCCTGTCCATTAGAGTCACCATTCTGAACGAACAGCCTGATTCAGTGCGGGGAAACTCCAGGCTTCAAGGCAGGGCTGGTGCAATACAGGGCAGATTGCGGACAGGAAGTGGTGCAGTGCTGTGGGTGAGAGGGGAGGGCTTCCTCCTGCCCTGACACTTTCTATGCTAAGGGGCCTTTCACAGTGGCCTCCCTCCCCCCGCCCAGGAGACAGACAGACAGACACTCTGAGGCTTCAGCCAAAGGCCTGGTGAACAGCTGTGACTCCAAGCCAGGCAAATCCAACCCTTGCAAATCCAACCCTCAGTCCTCAGCGACTTACCTGTGTCCTAACTGTCTTTGGGGTTTATATAGAATTTTTACTTTTTCAAAGTAGATGCACCTCAGTGAGCATTTGGTTTTCAGAACTCCTGTCCTGTCTCCAGGGATCTTGAAAGGCCCTTGACCCCCAGCACCCTGGGCTGCCTTAGTTTGCATCCCTTACTTCCCACTGTACTGCTTTACCATCAGAAGTGGAGACAGTTGGGTCTTGCTGAAGTTCAGGTTTAGCGTAAATGAAAATACAACAGCCAGCTAATCTGAGTACTTTTTGGTGCTAGAGATAAAACTCCACACTAAACAAGCACTCTACCCGAGCTAACTCCTCAGCCCCTCTTTAAAACTTTGAGATAAGCTTTCAATAAATTGCCCAGGCTGGGCTCAAAATTGCATTGCTCTAGTCTCTGCCTTCAGAGTAGCTGGGATTTCAGGTGTGCCCTACCGTGAGCAGCTCTGAATAAAGTTCTTCATAATGGGAAAAGCAATTCATGTATCAGAGCTAAGTGGGTGGAGCTGGGGAATATTTAGGAGACAGCTGATAGGACTTGTAGATTATCTCGGAGACGGGATTAAGTAGGTCTCTGAGCAGCTGGATGATGCACCCTGTATTAAATAGGGAAGGACAGATGCATGATTGAAAGTAAGACGCTGAGGTCAACAGCAGACCGTGGAACTTGTTGAGCAAATACACTGTGAGATGCTCTCCAAGAGACTCTCTTGGGATTTACAGGGCTGACTTCAGGAGGGAGAGGTGGGCCCTGGATGTGTGTGTGTGTATGGGGAGATGGGTTCCAGCTAGGGATAGTGACTGAGGCTGCAAGGAGAGGTCCCTTTTACCCTGCCAAGAAGCAGGGGATAGAGAGGAAGACCAGTCCAAGCCAGTGTCTTGGGCTGTTAGAAGTAAGAGGAGACAAAGCCCAAGACATGCCCATTAAATTGAGCAACCAGTTTACTGGCGACCTCCAAGTAGGCAGTTCCCAGAAATGGGTGGGAGTGAAGCCTCACTCATAGGCCAGATTGACAGTCACCGAAGCCAGTTCCTTCCATAGGGATGAAGCCGGATGTAGCCGTAAGTCTGAGTTCTGGCCAGTGGCCTGTGGGTAGGGGCTCCGTCACCTCCAGGGAACAGCCCTCACTCCATCCTCCGGGACTCTCTCCTCCCTAGCCTGCCAAACTAGAGGATCTGGAGGTGCTCCAAGGCCTTGATGGCACAGAGTGAAGGGGAGGAAATCGGCCACTGGATTATAATGTGCAGCCAGGGGATTCTATGAGGTCAAGGTGGTCAGGGATGAAGGAAAATCAGACCCGAGGGCGAGCAGGTGAGGTCACCTCAGGTTGGCTGTGCAGTGTGGTGGGGGTGGCGCAGCAGAACGGTGCCAGTAGGGTCAGAAGACAGCAGAAAGGCTGGACAGCTGGAATTTAGAAGTCAGGTGAGCTAGAGGGGTCCATAAACCATTTGCAGGATGGCGCTAAGAGCTGGAGCCCTCTGCATGGTCAGGAAGTGCCACAGCTGAAAGAGCAGCAACGGGGCTGGGGATTTAGCTCAGCAGCACAGTGCCTGCCTGGCAAGCACAAGGTCGTGAGTTCAATTCCTGGTACCAGAAAAAAAAAACAAAAAAAACCAAACAAACAAAAAAAGAAAGAGCAGCAGCCAAACACCTGCACGCACAAGGCCTCACTGTGCACATTACGACCACACAGGCCCTGCAGCGCCTCTGGGTGCGCTCTGCCAGATGCATCTGGCCAGCCTCGTGCTGGGCCAAGCACGTGCTGCAGTAGACACCTGCTGAGCAGAACCCTGCCCACACCCAGGTCTGTGTTGCATGACTTCTGCCTGATCCAAAGTCAGGCCAGCTGGAATCTGCAGCGACCTTGAGCAAGTCCCCTGCCTTCATCTGCAAAGTGCAGGGATAGGTTCAGTAATTGTCAGTGCAATCCTAAAGCGCTGGGCTCCTGCAGGTCTTAGCCCTGTTCAACTCCTGCCTTCCCGAGCCAGAAGTGGGAGTCTTCCAGCCTTTAGCCTGTGAGAGTTGGAGAAGGCCACGCTGACCTTTAAGGGGACGGTGAAGGCTTCCAGGCAAAGCAGGTTTGTGGGGAATAGCCGGCATCCACACCTATGAGTCAGGAAGCAGGGTCTACCATCTTCTCTTCTCTCTTCTTTTTAACCATCTACACTTACAACAAAACACCTCCTTTCTGTTCCCCGTTCTTGTTCCCTTTCTAAGGGGATAGCCCCGCCCTCCACCACCCCCTTGTAGCTCCAGGGATAGAGGCTTAGGAGGAGGATGGGGACACCTTTCCAAGTGGCCCAGCTCTAGCTTGGTATGGTTCTATCTTATCGAACAGAATGGATTTGGACAAGAAAATTCCTTGTTATCCCATCTACCGAAATATTTGTATTTAAGAGAAGCCATTTCCCCTTTGTCTAACACAAAGTACATCTGTCCCCTGCCGCACTACTTACAGACTGGGAAGGTGGTCCCGGGCTGCACAGAGCCGTGGGAGGACCAACCTGGAAGAGACACGCTCATGATGGTCAGCATGAGGCAGGCCAGTGAGTGCAGGGCCACTCAAAGCTTGGCCAAATGCTGGTGGGTCTGCCTGGGCCCTTCCTGCCCTGGCTGGCTCACAGGCTTTTGAAAGCCACAGTCCCATCCTGCGGTCCACCATGGAAGTGGTGGTGGGGTGACACATAGCAGGGACCCAGTGAGGAGTCTGTGGGGGTCTTCCTAGGAAGAGGACCTGCCTTGCGCCCTTAAATCCCAAGAACTTGGAGAAAGGCAAGACAACGGCCACTTTTATTATCCAAAACCTAAAGAACAAGATCCCGCAGAACCACAGGACCTGCTGCTGATAAACTGGACAGACATAACTTCTGAGGGTAGCTTCCTGCTGGGTCCGTGGGCCCAGGTCCCTGAGGGTCAGGCATGATCCCAGCGCGGATCCTAGTGCTGAGCCCGGCAGCACAGGCCCAGAGCTCCCGGAAGGAGGTGGCAGGGCCCAGGTGCCTGCCCTGGGATGCAGGTCCCTGGCTTGGGGTGTAAAGACAGAGAGGATTCCTCAGGGGTCATCGCGGCAGGCAGCTGGCCACTGGGTCAGGCCGCAGCCCGGGGACAAAGTTCATGGGGCAGAGCAGCAGCGGGCACATCTTCTCGTGCTCCTTCAGCGCCAGGCTCAGCTGCTGCAGCTCCTCGTTCAGCTTGGCGATCTCCCTGCGCAGCATGGCGTTCTCCTGCTCCAGGCACTCGTACTCCTGGTGGGAAGAACGGCGGCGTTTCTGGAACCACAGTCTCGCCTGCCCGCACAGGCTCGTCACTACCATTTGTGCCACTGCTTTGGCTCTCTCTCCTCCCTCGAGGATGAGCACACCCCCCCCCCCCCCCCCGGGCAGGGCTGTGTTCTTTTTTTTTTTTTTGGTATACGGAAGTGTCATTTACATAAAATGCATCTATTTTAAGTGTCCAATTCAATGAGTGTTGACAGATGTGTATACCTGTGCTGATAAATATGCAGAAATTGCTTTCACCCCAAAAAGTCCCCTTTGCATGGGATCCTTCCCCCTCCACAACTGCTGTTCTGCTTTTCTGGAGGCCTCTGCCAGGCTCACGGCTACACCTTCACCACTTAGAACCTAAAACATAACAAATGCTTTGTTGACTGCACAAATAAATGCATGAAAACGTGCCTTGCCTCTGGTCCAGCACTAACTGATAAGCTTCTACCAGATCAGGAACCAGGCTCAGAACTCTGTGTGTGTGTGCGCTTTCAGAGTTCCCTTTGCCCAAACCACACAAGGGCAGAAACCTTTCTAATGTAATTCTAGTTCACGCCTCCACCTAGGGTGGAGCCCTGGCACCTTCAAAGGTCAGTCTTTGTCCTTTTGAGCTGTTCTGTTTGAAAACTTGCATCTACAAGGTGTGATCACAAACACGGTGAGTGTTTAAATAATTATTACAGTAAATTGTCGTTAGCCCCCTTCAAAACCTTCCCCCTTGCTTTGAACACACTCATCCCATCATTCTTGCCACTTCCTGAATCGGTTCTGCAAGTCCTCCTTGGTGAGTATCCTTAGTTGCGCTGCTGTAGCTGCCTTCACGTCCTGAACTGATTCAGACATTGACCTTTCACTTTGACTCTGGGGAGGAGCCCGAAGTCGCACAGTGCCAGACCTGGTGAATACGGTGGATGAGGACACAGGGCGATGCTTCCACAGGTCTGCCCTTCTGTTGAGGGGCACTTGGCAGCAGCATCGTCTGTCCTTCCGATCACACCTCACGGGACACTCAGGAAAGAGGACTTGCAGAACTGCTTCAGAAAGTGGCAAGGAGGATGGGGTGAGCGTCTGAGGCGAGGGGGGAATATGGGTATTTTGAGGGGGTTTAAAAAGCAATGTGCAGTCGGGCACGTGGTGGTGCATGCCTGTAATCCCAGCACTCGGGAGGCTGAGGCAGGAGGATTGTTGGGTGTTCGAGGCCAGCCTGGGCTACAAAGTGTTGAGCTCAAGGCCAGCCTGAATTGCAGAGTGAGACCCTGTCTCAAAAAGACAATCAATCAATCAATCAATAAATAGTAATGTGCCTTTTGCTGTAATAAATTTTAAAATTTAAACATTTTATATTTTGACCACCCCTTGTACGTGCTCAGGGGTCCTCATTCCTTCCGTCTGTCTTCTCTTATGGACTTCACCCCTCCTTGCCCCTCTAGGGCACCTTCCTCTCTTTCAGAACCAAGAGTCTCAGACAGTTGTACGCAGGGGCTGTCCCAGTCCTTCCTCCACCCAGCTCCATGGCAGGAAGTTCCCAGGGACAGCAGGCCTCATCTCTCCCACCGGCCACTCTGGGCCAGTCTGGCTTTCTTAGTACCTGAGAGTCAGTGTACAAACACAGCAGCAAGCCCTCGATAGTTAAGCAGAGCTGGGAGGGAGGAGGGACCTCAGGCTCACGGAAAGCTTGCACAAAGCAGAGACTAGAGGGGCAAGCGCACATGCGTGTGCACACACACCCTCCACAGTGCAACCGGAAATGCCCCGCACCTTCAAGTGAAGTGGATCTGAATGGTTCCAACAAGGTAGCACATCACCTTGCTCCCGGAGCACAGAAAGCTCTGCCTTCGACTGAATATTCCTAACTGGCTACGTCCGCTAACTGTGGCAAGATGCTCAGAGCCGCTGAGCTCTTCCTCTGGAAGCCAGGGGAGCCCTGCGGCCTCACGCTGTCCTGAGACACCACTGCTCTCCCCGAGCCCTGCTTGGAAAGACTCCAGAGCTGCTGTCACAGGCCACCAGGCAGGCCCCTCATCTAGCTGCCCTCCCCGTGGGGACTTTCTCTGCTGGGATTTAAGTTGTACTCCCAAATGTGCAGAGGGACTTTTACTGAGCTGAGGAGAGGAGAGAAGCAGTAAAAATCTTCAGGCCCGACCAGTTCCATAAAAATGAAAAGAGGAGCGGGAAAGGAGAGAGAAGAGGTTAGAGAGGAGGTCAAAGAATACAAATGGAAACAAAAGGCAAGAATGAAACACACTGCGCACTGAGAAGGAAGTTCTAGATTTAACATAAATAAAACAATAAGCAGAGAACGCTGAATTCGCAGTGACTTCCGGTGTGACTTCAATCTAGCTCAAATCTGGCTGAGTTATGGATCTTCTGTCACAGGATGGGTTTAGGATCACGGTGCTGCCACCTCTGAGAATTTGCCTGGTCACAGTATCAAAGCACAGACCCGAAAATCAGAGGGGGCGAAATCACTGTCAATGCCAGTCCTGCCTTGGAAATGAGCTCACCTAAGACTGTGGTCCTCAGCGGGGGGAATGTCGGCCTCCCCGGCTGACAATAGTTGGGGCCACGTGGTGGTGTCCCGGGAGAGTTCAGTTGTCACAGATAAGGTAGTGGCCATGCAGTTCCCAGTCAGGGAAGCTGCTCAGGGTCCTGCAGGGCAGTGCCCCACAAGGACGCAGCCTGCCCCCAGTGCCCAGAGTGCTGCGGTTTGGACACCTTGTTCCGGCACTGAGAGGCTGACTGGGAAACGAGGCCGCCTGCGTCCCCTGGAGCAAGGGACAGGATTGAAGACCAGTAGAGAAGGTGAAATGGCTAGTAGGCACCAGAGGTGACACTTCAGGTGTGAAGGGAAGCAGAGGTAGGAAAAGGCCACCAGGAGGACACGGAGCACGCCCTCACAAGCACCCTGGCTCTGAGAGGACAGTGACATCGCCAAGGTCACGGAGACTTCGGGTCTGATCCATGACGTCGAAGTCAACTGCGATCCTCAGGCAGCATCAGAGAGTCTGCTCTGGTTGGCAGGGTCTGGGCCTGAATTTCCCTGAGGTGGTTATCAAAAGGAAGAGGCCACGGGCTCTCAGGACTTTACCATGCTCTATCCCCCTCAACTGATGCATTTCCCAGCAGAAACACTGTCACCAGTCAGGGCTGTCCAAGTTCATGTCACGGTCCTCCTCTAAGCCTGCTGGTACTGACACAAAACCCTGTCTCAGCACACACAATATCTGAAAAACAAAAGTGACAACACCAACCACAGCCTACGGCTAAGCGATCAGTCAGTTTGAGACATGTGGGGCTCGTGAGGATGGTATCACTGCCTGCCTTTTCTGACTCAAACCCTTTCTCGGTCTGACATCTGTGGGTGCCTGACCCACTTCTGGGCCACCTTCCTTCCAGTTGCCCTAGAGACCCTGGCGCTCAACCTCGGTTCCCTGCTGTGCACACGGACTCCGGCCAGCGCCTGCTGTCCAAAGCTGAACAGCCATCAGAGTCCCCACAGGAGGTGTAGCCTGTGGGAAGGAAGATTCATCTGCAGCCCACTGCCCGCGACCAGGGCCCATGGGGAGAACGGTGACTGGGCGGAGCCTCGCCCCTCTCGCCCTTCTGCCTTGTCCCTCCTTCAGGAAGCAGCCAAGAAACTCACAAGAGTGAGAGCTGAAGGAGGTTTTTCAGGGTGCTGAGGTTACAGGGCTCAAAGACAAATGGGGTGAACCAGTGAGGTGAGCAGAAGACAAAAGGGGGTCTCGGTCCGCTCCAAACATCCCCCTCGGTGGTATGCAGGAAGAGCTTGAGCTCCTAGGGTGTGTAAGAATTCTGCCCTGTGGTGTAGCCCAGGGCTGGATGAAGAGAGCCCTGTGGATGGGCTTTTTCTGCCTCCAGGGACTAGCAGGTAAGAGTGGCTACCCAGTGGCTGTTTTCCTGGGTCCTCAATGGCTCCCTGTGGCACTCAGGCATGAGGTTTCTATACAAGGGGTCCTGCTCTCACTTTTCCCATCCTAGATATGGTCCAGGAAATCTGGGGATCCCCAGGAATTTTCTGGGTTTTTTTGAGACAGGGTTTCACCATGTAGTCCAGGCTGGCCTTGAACTCACTATGTAGGCCAGGCTGACCTCGAACTCACAGTGATCCTCCTGCCTCAGTCCCCCTAGTGCTGCGATGACTGGTGTGTACCACCACACCCTGCTGGTTTTCTACTGTGACCCATAGCAGTGTGTCAGGTGCCGTATGCTCAGCCCACTGGAGCACAGCGAAAGCATCCTTCACCCCGTTTTCAACCAGCACCCCTACCTCCAGCGTGCAGAACACAGGTTCCCCATAGCTAGAATGCTTCCTGGAAATAGGTGGCTGGCGACAGGAAGGACACTGTTCGTGTGATGCCTTTTGGTCCACACATGACATCCCTCTCCTTCTGCAGAGTATGGGACGATTTCCATGTCCCTATGCCAGCTGCTCGCCCCTCACACCCGTGGTGAGAAAAGGTAAGGTAAAGGCTACTGCGGGGGAGCGCAGATGGAGCCGCCTTCCTGACCTACTACTGGTGCAGGGTCCTGACTGGTCCCCCTTCCCCAAGAGAAAAAGGAGAAGGGAGTGTCCTTCCCCAAGGGCCTCAGAGCCATCCTCCCCATTCTGGAAGGAGCAGCCGCCATAACTGTTGGGAACACAGCCGAGGGCTAGGAAAACAGCTCAAGACCCTATGCAAGGGCCCTCCAGCCCATGTCTAAGAGGCAGAGGGCAGGAGGAAATGTGGACCTACGTTTCCAGCACCTGGTTCCCTCAGCTACCAAATCCAAAAATGACAGGAAATGAGAGAGAACCAAACTTCACCTGGGTGTCCTTTATGACACCGTAGTAAAGTTACACAAGTATTTATGATGCTTTCTGTGGTGGGCAGAATAGTGGCCCCTCAACCATGCCTCCATGCACCTGTGAATACGTTGCTTCACACAGCAAAGGGGACTTTGCAGATGTGATCAAGTTAGGAAGTGTAAAATAGGCAGATTGTCATGCATCACCCTGACATTTACAGGGTACCCTGTAAGTGAATAACGAGTCAGGAGAGAAAGACGGGATGTGATAACAGACCCAGTGTCAGGAACACAGCATGAGAAAGACTCCACTGGCCTCGCTGGTTCTGAAGCTGGAAGGGGACCATGAGCCAAGGAACATCGAAGCCTCCCGACTCTGGAGGGAGTGAGGACACATCCTCTCAAGAGCCTCCAGAAGGAGCGTAGGCTGCTCTCACCTTCATGCCAGCCCAGTGGGAACATGTCGGATGTCTGCCCACCAGCATTCTAGGACAGTAAACCTGTTGATTTGTGGACATCTGTGTCAGCAGCAAACTCAGACACTTCCCTCGGGAAGTCCGGCACTTCCCAAGGAATGGACTGAGATCTTCCTCTTCTCTCTGTGACCCAACAGCGACACCTTGCCTGCAAAAGTGCCTAGTAAATGTAGAATGGATCTATTTGACCTTGCTCCATGAAAGATCCCGTCCAAGACATTTGGTCACCTCTGCAGACATCATCACCCAGGACGGCTGATGAGGCACCAGAAGCTTCCCGGAGGGATCTGGCCTTGGCTGTCCAGTCAGCACCCATGGTCTGAATACAGGGCCCTGGTGTAACTGAGTTCCAAGTTGGGCCTAATTGGAAACGTGAACCTAGAACCACAACAGCCTCAGCAGCAGAAGGTGAAGAAAGGAGGCCAAGGGCACTGGCATCTTCTGTGCAAGTGTTACAGAACTACTGAAGACCGAGGAGGCCTCCCTGACTGGTCTGCAGGAGAAATCTGTATTCATCATGTACACCATGCTGTGAATTTGCATCAGTGGGCTGGTCCTGACTCCCCGGATTAAGAGCGTTCTAAACTCACCCTGTGCTGAGTTTTAGAGACGCCCTTCTCTCCATGTGACAACTGAGGCCCTGTGCTGTCAACATCCCAGACTAGCCTTGCCGCGAGGCAATCTGTCCCATGAAAGCATGGCAGGAGCAGCTAAACTAAAATCTTTAATTGTGCACACCAACCCCTCACAGAGGAGGAGAAGCATTGCTAATTCCTTGGATAAATCCTTGAATGCGTTCGAGGGCAGCTCCTGACACAGAGCAGCTCTCAGGGCCTGGCTGTGGGATGGTGCATAAAGGTCAAAGCAAACAGCATCTTGGAGGAGAAATTCCAGTGCTATGATTCGAATCTGCCCCCAGAAGTGGGTGTGTTGGAAACTCGGTCCCCAGTGCATCTGTCTTGAGAGATGGGGACTTTGAGAGGTGACGGGGTGACTGGGTTAACCCATGAAGGGATTATTGGGCTGCCATGGGAGTGGCTCTCTAGGAAAGCAAGCTCTCTGGTTTGCTTGCTCTACTTGGACACAGGACGCTCTCCGCCATGCTATAATGTGGCAAGCAGGCCCTCAGGACGTCCCAGCCCTGAGGACCATGAGCCAAGTCAATGTGGCAGTTGGTTGACAGCACAGAGAACAAACTCAGACACCAGGCTCCTGCTGTGAGTAGCAAGAAAGGTGGTGGACGCCATGAACTACCAGTGAAAACAGTGGGAGGAGAAAGCCTCTGAACACAGAGCATTTTGTCATCCCTGTGGCGCAGTCCATGGGGAGACATCTAAGCCAACGCTGAAGTGACAGGGTCCTGTCTGCCAGGAAATCAGTGTTGGGAGCTGATGCCAAGAGAAGAGATGAACAGATTCAGTCATCCAGGGTGAGATTAAAAAAAAGGGCAGAGTCTGAAACGCTGGTCAATGCCAAAAAAAGGGAATTAAAAAATTGTGGGGCTGGGGGTGTGGCTGGGTGGTAGAATTCTTGCCTTGCATGAGTAAGGCCCTGGATTCAATCCCCAGCAGGAACCCCCCAAAATTGTGAAGAGGGTCCAGAGAACTAGAAGATGTGGTTTTTAACAGCCAGAAAGGGGAAGCTTTCCAAAAGGGACGGACTAGGGGGGAAACATTCCAGCAAGGTCAAGCAGGAGAAGATCAGGAAGAAGGCCCTGGAAAGGGAGCGCGGGCACTGGTGGCCTCCTGGAAGCAATTTCCCTATGTGTGTGTGTGTGTGTGTGTGTGTGTTCAGTGTGGGGGTGTGTGTTTGCACACACACACCTGTGCGCACACGTGTTGGGTGGAGGTGGAGGACCGGGACTGAGTGTGTGTGTGTGTGTGTGTTCAGTGTGGGGCGTGTGTTTGCACACACACACCTGTGCGCACACGTGTTGGGTGGAGGTGGAGGACCGGGACTGAGGGCACAGAGGACTGGGGGACGACTGAGAACTGAGGGCTCAGGGATCATAGGAGAAAAGTGCTCTTTTTAAGAAGCAGAGAAGTGTGAGACAGGAAAGAAAAGGCAGCAGGATTCTGAATGGGCATCGGGGTCGAGGAGCGGCGCCTTATTCCGCTGTGCTTTGTAATGACAGATGGGTTGGGGCAAAGCGAAGAGGTCCATGAGCAAAGACTCAGACCTCAGGGCAGGAAAGGACCCGGAGGACCAGATGCGTGCACAGCTGGTGCGACCCATGACCACAGCGACATCATCACCCTGGCGGGTCCTCGCCGTGACACTGTCCAACCACAGCCTCACCTCATGGAGCTTGTCAGCCTTCTGGGTCTGCTTCTTCCGACTCCTCTGAGCAGCAACTCGATTTTTCTCTCTCCTGCGGACCTTCCTGTCATCATCTTCAGGGCTCTGGGGGGTGACATTGGGTGACGTTGACGTGGAGGCTCCTTGCTGACCCTTCCCTGCCCTCTCCTTCCCTGGGCTTTGCTCTTTCACCTCCACCAGTTCACGTGCAGCCAGCAGCAGCGGACCAACCACAGCCCCCTCGTTTAGGGCTCTCGCATGCCCTTAATCCTGGACCACCCCAAGACAGGAGCAGTAGGGCTTCGGACACAGCTCCGTGGTACAGTGCTTGTGTCTCACGAGTGAGGCCCTGGGTCCCATCCCAGTACCACAAGTTTAAAAAGTTGGACATGGCGGAACACGCCTGATGCCCCAGCACCCTGGAGACTGGGGCAGGAAGATCGCCCCAAGCTCATGGTCAGTCTGGGCCACATAGTGAGACCTGGTCTCAAAAAGCAAATAAAAAATTAAAAGATGAGGAATAAGAAACTCAGGCTAAGACCTTGCTCCAGGTATAGTGCTCCTCGGGGGTAGCGGGAAGTGGAACTCAGGTCTGTTGGGTCTCCAAACCAACGTTCACAAACCTCTACCCCACAGGGCGTGTGCCAGGAAGAGCTGTGGTATAGCCGCTGCTCATCTGAGACTGGGAAAGTGGGGGCGGTAAGGGGAGGGCTTGCTATTTAGAACCTGCTGTGTGGCCGGCCCTCACGGCACCACTCACAAACAGGTACAATCTGTGTGCAACCCATGATTACACATTCAGCGCCACTCGAAACCACAGGGACGATCCACCAGCACAGTGATCTGAAGCAGCACAGACAATGCACTCCTTTGAACAATGCTCGACTGACATTTCGTTTCAGGGGACAGAGTAAGTCAGAATGCAAATGTATGATGTGACTTGAAACTCAAGCTATATAATCCCAGCACTCCAGGAAGCCAAGGCAAGAGGATCGCAAGTTCAAGGACAGCCTGGGCCCCTCAGTGACTCAGGAAGGCCCTGTCTCAAAAAAAGAAAAAAAAAAATCAAAAAGCACTGAGGGAACAGCTCCATGAGACGCCCTGGGTTCAATCCCTAGTAGAGCAATGAAAAAGAAAGAAAAAAGAAGACTCAGCTATACATGAAATTTTGCCAAATACATCAAATCCTTCGTTTTACAGGCAAGCAGGAAACATACCTACCATGGTAAAAACACTTCATCCATTATGGAAAACATGGAAAGCACAGCAGTATTTGCTTTCCAGACCCCACGAGAAGATCTCAAAAGAGAAAAAAAAATACAGTACTCTTAAGGGCTCAAACGAAGAAGATGAAAAAGACAGAGATGGAAAAGGAGGAGGACCAGCCAGTGGCACAGAGACACAAGAAAGACAGCTGACTATAAACATGAATGAAAAGCAAATATTGATAATACAAACTGACACTTTCAGTTACCATTTTATGTGGTCTTGTATTTCACATAAGAAAGACACACATCACCTCCCCAAGGTAAGCAGGTAAGAATTTCCAGCCCATGCAGAAAAGCAGGCATAAAAGAAGAAATAGCATACCTAACCGAGGGCAGCGGCCCGGGAGCACCAGTTAGAGGAACACAGACAGGTAGGTCTGCAGGAGACAGTCTAGGTTTAGAGAAAAAGTCTTGATAACACAACCAGAGCATCAATGTGGACATGTGCTGTACAGGACAGAGCTTTAGAATCTCACACGTCCTAGTTCTGTCTCTTACAATCAATGTGGCCGAGAGTAAACGGCTTAACTTCTCTAGTTTCTCAATTTCCTCACTTATACGTGTGATTCATTCATCTTTTCAATATGTATTTTTTTTGAGGGGGGGGCACTGAGAATCAAACTCAGGACCTTGCTCTTGCCAGGCAGGTACTTGTGCCGCTGAGCTATATCTCCAGCCCCCTTTCAGTATATATTAACTGAGCACCTACCATGTGCCTCGATCTCACCTAGGCACTGGGGACATCAGCCACCAACAACGGGCACTTTCTTGCTGGCAACCTAAGCCTAATTCAGCACATGCCCCAGCAGTTACCTGTCTTTGTAGAGGCTGCTGCAATTTCTGATTGGGTCCCCCCTAGTGCGTGTCACTAAATCAGCCTCTTTATACTCCATAATCAAGAAAATCGCTGGGCACAGAGGATCTGCACACATCCTGCCCTCGGGGGCTGCCACTCTAAACTGAACTTATAACATACCAGGTATGATCACACCTGCCAAGCCGACAGAAACATTTACGCAATTCAGAGGTGAGCAAAGTCTTGAGATATTGTGCACATTATGAGCCTTATCTCAGTCGTCACAAAAATCCGGAGACATTGATGCTACAGTAATTTTACAGATGGGGAAACTGAGGTTCCAAAAAGTTAAACAAATAGACCAAGGGGGCTGGGGATTTAGCTCAGCGGCAAAAGCGCCTGCCTGGCAAGCGCAAGGTCGTGAGTTCGGTTCCCGGTACCGGAGAAAAAAACCAAAAACAAATAGACCAAGGTTACTCAGCCTGTGTGGCCACGGTTCCAGTTCAGATCCGCATGACACTTTCTGGTCACTGGATGACACCAGGTGCCTGGCACTGAATGGGGGGGGGGTAAGAATGGAAGGACCCAGTCTGGTCCTGCAGCAGCTGGGCGTGCAGGGACCCAAAGGCCATCTCTGCGGGCGACCTGGTCTCACCTTCCCGCCTGTGCGGCTGTGTACTTAGCCGGGGACAAGGCGAGCAACCGGCCAGATGGGGTGAGGGTTTGCAGCAGCGCTGGGGTCGGCGTTTGCTCCCCGGACTGAGCAGCCGCGGGAGGGAGGAGAAGCGCGCACCGACCTGGCGGCGCGGGAGCAGCGCGGACCCCACGTGCGGTCCCCACCCCACCCCGGCGGACACGGTGCGCGCGGCGCGGGCCAGAGCCTCACGTCGGG